CTTGCTCAGGCTGGTCTCGAACTCCTGACCTTGAGCGATCCACCCGCCTCGGCCTCCCAGAGTGCTAGGATTACAGGCGTGAGCCACCGCGCCCAGCCAGAAATCTTCACAACCTTGTGAGGGAGTTGTTATTGTCTCCATAGATGAAGGAAATGAGGCACAGAGTAGGATAGTAATTTTTCCTAGGTCACACAGCTAGTAATTCAAAGAACTAAGGCATAAACCCAGGTGTATTTTCCTCCAAAGCTAATGCTCTGAACCATTGTCCTATGGATTGTGTTGGACACATTCTAATCTTCTCTCTAAGAGGCAGAGTGGGAAGGAATGAGCTATGGAAAGATGAATTTGGTCTGCAGCACAGACTCATCTATGCAACCCACCTGACTCACTTCTCAATCCTTCTTGACTCAATCCTTCTCAACCCTTCTTGACTCACTCCAGATGACTGATGGTCAAGCAAAATTTCTGGTGAAACTTTGATATCAAATTATAGGAATAATTTTATTCTCAATCTATGGGAAATAACTCACAATCCCCCAAAGGCTTCAGTCTTTGAACATTTTTTATTATACTGCATGTTGGAACTGTAAGGATATCTGATTTGATTTTATTTATCGCAACCACGCTACATGTGTTATGCTTTATATCACCCAAATATTACTTTATGTTACCTTGCATTTTGTCCCCTAAGGATATACTTTCCTTCCCCAGCTATTCTTTTTAATATTATTTACAATTTATTCTATATCCTCACCCTAAGGCTCCGAAATCTAAATAAAACAGATAGCTTAGCATTTATGCAAAGAATCAAAGTCAGTTCATACATACCAATCAGATCATTTAGACAGTGCTTGATAGCTCTATGTAGTTTTTGGAGCTGAATGATGGATGAAATGAAACATATACAGAAGTTTCCATAGTCCCAGGCTCAAAAGGAACCATTACAGAGAAAATTGGTGACATTCCACACTATCTCCATGCAAAGGCAGGAGAGAAACAACTAAAACAGGAAAGGTTTCTGCCGCCATACATGGGGGGTTGGGAATAAGACACACATTATTCAGCATGATCACAAGAAATTAAAACACTCTCTTATCCCCAATCTGTCACTCCTAAATTATATTTTAAAATATTCGAAAACATACTCTGCTCTTTTTTGGTACTAACTATACATATAAATTAAAAATAAAGATTTCATTATGCTTTTAAATGTTTTAATAAGAAC